ACAGTTGTTCTTGTGATTCATCAATTCCTGGAATGGCCACTAGTCTGGTGAATGATCAAGAATCTAGAAGGAACAAGATTAGAGGAGTGAAGACAGGGATGCTTGAGGACAGGTTATATAAGTATAATGGGTCTTAAATGTAAGAATATTTTTAGCTAGTGTGGGTATTTGCTAAAAATGTCTGCACTGCAAATGAAGCTCTCATAATCAGGTGGATATGATGATCTGCCCTGTGGATGTCAATCTGCCTCATGGTGCAGCCAACTCAATGATTGTTCAGTAAGCTTATTAGCAAGGAGTACATGTTGGTAGGAACAGATGTTATGCATCGGCTCAACTACATGGATTTCCCCTATCCAAGACTCACCTGGCTACTGGCAGGGTTGAATATTCAATTTGCCAGTGGCTGTGTCTGACCCTAATTTTCTGATAAGTAACAAAACCCTAAAGGGATCAGTCAACTAGGTAGTGGAAAATTAATTACAACAGACACTTTTTTTTTTTTTTTTTAGAAATGAGGTAGCAATTTGTCCTCATTGGAATAGACACTTCATATGAATTAGATTTTTTTCTCAGGTTGTCAAACTTCACTCAGTTCCATATCACACTATATATCCCATGCAACATTTTTATGCCCTAGGTACTTATTCTTCAGCAAAACAGGTAATTAACCTTCTACCTTTAATGTATATATTTTTCTTATTTCACTGTTTTCAATGTTCAAATTTTATTTTCTCCCTAGGAAATATCTTTGCTTTCTTTTTAAGAAATAGTTTCTGGAATCTAATATGTTGTTTAACAAAATATACAGATATGATAAAGGCACCGAGCATGTTAAAATATATGTTAGATTTCCTCAGCCCATTGAAAATTTATCTTTACAAAGGTAATGAAATGTACAATGATAAGATTGTAGGGAGTCCCAGAAAAACCTTAGCTATCTCAAAACCCCAGGGTATTGCAAACTACCCACTGGGATTCTGATACATAGACATGAATCTCCCCAGAGGTCACAAGCATCCTTTGAATACCATTTCTTTAAGATGGTTTCTATGGTAATATAATGGATAGAGCTATAGAACAATCCAGATGCTATTAAATATGTGATTTTTTTATAGATGGCACATCAGAGACCATTAATATCAATACACAACTTCAATGTCATCTCTTAAAGAGGCACAAAGCTTAGCATAGCACCACTGATTTAGAACTCCTGCAAAATCTATTATTTTATTTTCAGATGTTTATTAACCATAACTACAAAAAGGGAAAAAAAGTCATAACTTTTTCTCATGTCCATTATTTTTAAATTCACAATACATATTCTGTTCTCTGTCTCTCTGTCTCTGTCTCTCTCTCTCCCCCTGCCACCTGTGTGTGTGTGTGTGTGTGTGTGTGTGTAGTTGAGGGACATAGTATATCAAAGAAAGTGAAAATTGCTTGTGTCATATACTGGTGAAACACATTGATTTGATTGTGCAGAACTATTCCTCCTATCTATCTTCTCATAAGAAAAAGTTGCAACTGTTTATTCTTTTGTAATGATTCATACTTTTATAAGCATAGTATGCCATCCATGTTCTTCAACCCTGTCTGAACTTTATATGCTATTTCTAAAACAACCACGTGCATTTGAAGCATATATTAATAAAGATAAAGTAGGCATAGTCATGTTTATAGGTTAAACAACTGAATTTTATTGCTGTTCCATCACTATTTCTTCAAGATGCCAAAAACCCAGTTGATTCAGTGAATTATACACGTATACACATTTACCTAACTGAGTGGCTGGTATTACCTAAGTCTTTGTTGGACTGTTTTATTAGTTTATTACAGTAATGGACAAAAGGGGAATTCTTTTTCTTTACTTCAAATTGACTACTGGTTCACGAAATACACCATTACTTTTTCCCCTAGGGCATCCATAGAGCAACAAAGAAACCAGAGCAACTTCTGAAATGAATCAGAACTGGAGGTGTCTATTTGAGGTGGAAGAGGTGTAGCTGGAAAGTGGCAGGAGAACCAGATTTTCCCCCCATATCTTACTACTCAAGAAATTTGTACTTTTAACTAAGCCCAGAAACTCTCTGATGTCTGCTGATGCATAGTGAAGCTAATCACTGAGACCTCAGTGGTTTGCAGCAAGGAAAGTGTTTATTCAAGAGGCAACCAAAAAAGGAGACTAGAGGACAAGCCTTAAATCTGCCTCCCTAAAAGCAGAGAGAACATTTTTTCAATCACAGTGGTTGAGATTACATGCACATTGATGAAAAGGGCAGCGAAACCTATGACTATTCATAAGGAAGGATGGAGCATGCACAATGCGCAAACATATATGTAACATACATCCAATGTTCATTTTGGGGTGGAGACTTAACATCTGAATGAGGCAAAATTCAGCCCCTGAAGTCAGGAAATTATCCTTAGGTCAAAAACATGGGGCCATGGGCATGCTCCAAGAGCTGGCACAAACTGGATACGGTATTGGGCTCATTAAGTTGGTTGTTTATAGGCTGGAACTGTATCAGTTGACCTTGATTCCAGGCTTATGCAGAGACAGCTAGCAGATTTGTCAGTGGAATTTGTTTATGGAATCTAAAATCTAACATAGCCAAACTCTTAGAAGTATAGAGCAAAATGATTATTGTCAGAGGTTGGGATTTTTTAAAATGGAGTAATATTGGTCAAAATTTACAAAATTCCAGTTATGCAAGATGAATAAGTTGTAGATATCTAATGTACAACCTGGTGAGGATAGTTAACAATACGTTATTGCATACTTGAAATTTGTGAAGAGGATAAATCTTAAATCTACACACACACACTCACACACACACACTCACACACACATTGGTTAACTATGTAGAGATAATTGATATGTTCTTTATTTAATGTTATGAATGTAGTGATTTGTTCACAATATATGCATATATCAAAACATCGTATTGTACACCTTAAATATACAGAATTTTGACATACCAAAGACACCTCTATAAAGTTAAATTGTAAAAAAGTTTATTGGTAAGCCAAAAGGAAAGATGTACTATAGAAAAAATAAAGCAAGTGGCAAATGTGTGACATGGTCCGAAGTATAAAGGTATTTTGTAGTTTAGAGCCCATATTTATTGCAATTAGAAACTTTCAAAAGAGCTCTGCTTTTGTTCTACTATTAGTTTCCTATTTAACTATTAGATTATTTTAGCATTTTTAAAAAGTAGCATATGAAGTTTACATATTCCAAAGTCTTTAGATTAGTAAATTGTAGATATGTTAGCAAAATACCAAGACTCGATGTAAATTGGCCAAGTATCTGAGCCACTGCTCTTTTTTAAACTGTGCTCTTTCACCCCAGGCTGAATTCAATTTGCCATTAATTGCATTCTGTCAACCCTTGAATTGGATCAGGTAGCCTTTATTTGGTGAGCTAAGATGCTATTTTGTGATGCTGTGCACTGTTTACTACTTGCTACCTTCCACCCTAAAGGCAACTGCAGTTTCAGGAATGAGTTGACATATTAATTAGTTTGTAATCAGTGTATAAATTCCTTTGAGCATTTGAGGCCAGTTTCTATTCTTACTTAGCAAGTCAATAGAAGGTCCACTTAGAAAACAGATCCATAAGGCACAAAACAAAATGAGAAACTTGACCTCATTGTAAACTGGAAAATAACTATTGTCTACAGGCGAGACCCTTCTGACTATATGTCCTCTCAGAGGAAAGCATCCTCAGTACCTCCTGTCAGCAAGGCTGGAAGTGGAAGTACTGGTATACCTGGCTGATGCATCCAAGGGAAGACCACGGAATCTGCTTATGTATGTGACATATGTATTTTGGCCCACGAATTACCAAGAAAATAACTCATCACCACCTAAATCAGAGGCTAAGCTTGGAAAGGATATTAAGTTTACCAAATTTAATTTCTATAATACAGTTATCAATTTATTGTTATATTATTATTGTAATACAGTTAACAAATTTAATTTCCATAACACAAATGTTTTGTCATGTTTTGATCTGGTGTTTTGAGGCCCTGGCTGAAGGGTAGTCAATTCCCCTTTCGGGCAACTACTTTTTTAAAATTTTAAACATTTATTTACCTTTGAGAGACAGAGAGAGACAGAGCATAAACAGGGGAGGAGGAGAGAGAGCAAGACACAGAATCGGAAGCAGGTTCCAGGCTCTGAGCTGTCAGCACAGGAGCTGATGGGGGGCTGGAGCTCATAGACCTGAGATCATGACCTGAGCCCAAGTCAGAAGCTCAACAGACTGAGTCACCCAGGCGCCCCATTGGGCAGCTGTTTATTCCACACCCAACATGTCCTTTATGAGTTTCTTACACACCAAGTCCCTATGCACTCATCCTAACGGCCCCAGGAGCAGGTACCAGACAACCAAAGACAACCCTTTTGCCCCACAGCCTGCTGAAATTATTCATGTTAGCCAGTCCTAAGCCTGCGTCCCCCTCCTCACTCTTTCCTTTCCAGAGAAAGCACAGTAAAGGTGCTTACCCCCAGCTTCCTCCACCATGGTGCCTCTGACCCACCCATGCTTCCTCTGAATGGCCCTGTGTGCTGTGCTGTGTTCTCCCCAGGCAACTGATTAACAAACTGTAAAAGTCCAGTCTCTTACTCTGGAGCTGCATCTGGCTTCACCATAGGGCACTCAAAGTAATATGGTTAAAACTACCCCCTGATCTTTTCAAAGAGAAAAGAAATGTGTGGAAAAGGGAAATGAATTACCTGGGGTCACAGAGTTCTTGACAGTTGAGGATCCAAAATTCAGGTTTCTGCTCACAATCTCATAAGACACAGCTCCTTTCTTTGAACACTACATGAAAAGCAGAGATGACCAGAGGATAACAATATAGTAATATCCCCAATCTACTGAGCAATTGATGCAAGCAGGCTGGGTCTGAAGACCCAGGGTGGGTAGATCCCATGGCACTGGCCAAGAGGGTCCTTAGCTACAAGCACTCTGGAAATCAAACACAAGCCAGCCAAAAGTGAGAACAGTTTATTAAAAATAAAGAGCAGATATAGACAACATCTGGGAGACTTGGAAAAGGGGTCTTGTCTTTGGGATCTGGGGATTCTGTGGAGGATTGTGGTTTGGTGTACGTGTCCTCTCAGGCAGCCAGGAATTTGCTAGAACAAGGACAAGGGTCTTGGTCCTTCATAAGGCAATTATTCCTTGGAGCCAGGGGGTCTTGGCATCATGATGTTTGATACCAGTTGTCTAGAATATGTATATGGTAGCTTCATTCAGTCATCCTTGCCTGGGCCTTCCTTAGATGTTGTGCTAGAAGACTCTAAAGAAACCATTAACTCCTTGCCTTTTACAAGGGGGACATACACTATTTGCACGATAAGGCATGTGGAAAGTGGGGGTGCAGGTCCCAGCAAGAATAGAAGCAGGAAATGGAGCAAAAAGCAGAATTTCATGGAGTCCTTCAGTTTCTCTGTCTCACAATTACTAGAACTTGCTACTATGTTTGGCACTGTAAATATCCAACAGTTCTTCAAGGTGTTCATTATACAACTCAGTCTGCACTTGAGAAAACTGGGACTCACAAAGAGGAATTGGCTAAACCACAAAGCCATTTTCTCCTTTATCATAGAAGCACAGTTCAAATGCTGAAGCTTCCAAATCAGTGCATCAGTCACTGCCTTCGTTGAATGTTATGAAGCTCATTAAAAAACAAGGGTTCCTCTTCCTACTCTGGAGGAAGAAGGAAAATCAAGACAAAGAAGAGATAAATGACAGCTGTGAATTATTTAATTTTAATCAAACCACAGAGGGAAATAGTGTAATCTTAAATGAGAATATGTACTTTCTACCCCTTGTACTTTTCCTTCATTTACACATGTTCTATACTCTATTTTTTTCATATCTATTGAATGCATATGATGTGCTAGACACTGTTCTAAGGATTCTGCATACAGTTCTCACAATGACCCAATGAGATATTATAATTAACCCATTTTACAGATGAGGAAATGGAGGCACCAGGTACTAAGCTAAGCAGTTTGGCTCCAGAGCCTACCCTTTTAGCCGCTGTATTAAACTTCTCTCACATGTTCTCTCATATGCTTCTAAGTCTACTGGACCTGTGCATTTTCCCCAGTGAAGACATCCAACTGAAATGTTAAGGAAAACCTAGAAATTACATACAATATAATTACATCTATCCCTGGGGGTCTTTTCTATAATATCCCCAAGTTTTATTTATTCTCTCTGAATATCAGCATAGAGAAAAGGCTGTTACTCAGCTGTTTTTAGAATTTGGGCTTTGACACAAGTGAAAATTCAAGGATTTTTCTGGGAAATTGGATTCCCTGCATATTTGAAGAAGGGGAAGACTAGCTTTGGAAGAAAGTATTTTTTTCTGCTGTGACTCTGAAAGAGCTATATTTCACATTCCAAACCTAAGAGCAAAATCAAGCTGTATATCTATGCAGATTGGATTGTGGCACATTTATGGGTATTTTATTTGTCATAGAAAATCTAATGAAGAGGCGCCTGGGTGGTTCTTTCCATTAAGCATCTGACTTTGGCTCAGATGATGATCTCACCATTCCTGAGTTCGAGCCCCACATGGGTGTGCTGACGGTGTGGAGCCTGCTTGGGATTCTGTCTCTCCCTCTCTCTCTGTCCCTCCCTGGAGTTTACTCTCTCTCTCTCTCTCCCTCCCTCAAAAATAAATAAACTTAAAAAAAAAGAAACAATGAAGATTTGGGAGGAAAAGTGTGTGGTGTCATGGAAAGAGGGCTGGCATGGGAGTCAGGGCCGGTTTTGGCTATGTCCGCTTAGCTTCATTCCTTCAGCTTCTCTTCACTTATGTAGGCCGCCGTTTTCTCCTCTGAGTATTTAAACTGTTAAGGCACAATAAATTATAGAGGGTTCTGAAAGACTGAAAGGCAGAGAATCCACTAGGGGACCTAATGGCTCTGGGAAGTATCTCTTTGGCCTAGTCGAGAAATGGAATCATGCCAGAGAGGGAATCAAGGTGATGAATACCAAGAAGAGGAGGGAATATTCTCTCAAGCAACATCAACGAGACTTTCCAGGCATTATTGCTTTGACCCAGCTATATGCAATGCCCAATCTATTAAGGGTGGATCTTCTCATGAGGGGGACTCTCCTATAAATGTTCTTGCTTCTCCCCTCTGCAACTTTTAGCCCATTGGGGGACTAAGAGGAATATCTTAATGCCAAATAAGAGTTCTCCCCACCAATAAAAAGAAAACAGATTTCTGTGAAAATATTTAGCTCTGCCTATACTCAGATATCTCTTCAAGGCAGGAGTCAACAAAGATAGCATTCTTTACCTATTTGTGTAAACAAAACTTTGGGGGAATGCAGATAGACCTATTTGTTTACCAACTGCCTCCTTCAACAGCAGAATTGAGAAGCTGAGACAGAAGCCACATCGGCCACAAAGCAAAAATACTTACTGTCTGGCTTTTTTCAGAATCAGTTTGCAGAATCCTGCTTCAGGGAATCTTAAAGGCAACTTTAGCTCAGAAAACACCTGCGCTACCTGTCCCCCTAAACTGTAGAGATGCCAGTGTCATCAGTGGCATCCTCTGAGTATTTGTTCCCTCACAGTCCAAGGGTATCCTCAAGATCAAACAAGCCTCGAGGGAATTTTTGTTCTTTCCACTACATCAGGCCTCTAACAGCCATGTCACATGATTATCCTTCTACTGGCAGAATGCACATGGCACTCACATCTCCCAGATCACCTCGGCGCTGGCAAGGGACGCAGCGATGGGACTTATAGAAAGGCAACTAACCACAAAAATATCTCAAATGAGCCCATGATGACACAAAAATTATGTAATTTTTTATAAACATTTTTGATAATTCATTTTAACTATTTTGATGGAATATTGTCAGATGGAAAGTAATCTACATTTCCAGTATTTCACTCAACAAGCAATCTTGTGACAAAATTATATAAAGTGACTTAATTAGCAGAAGTTACTGTATAACAATATACCAAATTTTAGGTAGATTAAATTTAGACATTAAGGATTCGCAGGACACCACAGTTAGGAATCCCCTTCATATCATCCACAACTATTGGCCAATGCTCTATTGCCTTTGCTTAGAATGAATTCACCTTCTGCTGGCTATATCCTCTGTTTCCTAGGATGCCACCTCAGACACAATCTTAGAAGACACCAAGAATTCTATCACTTCTTCCCTAATCAAACTTTCATTACTCTTCTCTTTAAACAAGACTTTCGAATTCTTTTCCTTCACTCATCTCTGCCTTTAGCTAAAGTTTCCCTGGAAAGCAACTGATCTCGCATCCAATATTGCCCGAATAGTTGCTTCCTTACCTGTGGGCTCTCAAACCCTGAGACAAAGAGCATTCTATAAATTCATCCTGATGTCCTAGGGAAAGTTACACAAAATCTCTTTTATTATATATACTCATCATCATATCTTTCTCATCCTTTTGTTCAACTGTTCATATTCTCTGTAACACTATGGCATTGTTAAGTCCTAGGTGATTCTTTCATGTAGTATTTTTCAAGTTCTGGATGAACAACCCACTACTTGGGGCATGAGATCATTTTAATTGATCAAAATAAGCTCATTTTAATGAAATGGAAGAGAATAGGTACAAACAGAGCAGATGAGAAAATATTAGAGTACCCCAAACTTTAGCATATACACACTTTTCTATATTGTACACATGTGTTATATAATATATATTATACATAACCTTTGTATATATATGAACCATAATATAAAATAAATTTCTTTCTGTGGGTTAACATCAAAAATATTTGTAAGTTACTGTTCAGATGTCTTTCCTCTTCTCCCTACTCCATCCTTCAGAATTCTTCCTTTAGTACAAGACTGCATTTGGAGTTAGATTAAATACACCTTTAACTTTAAGAATCCAGACAAGTTTTTGAGTACCAAAATTGCCCTCTAAGATTGCTTTGCTTGTTCTTTTCTTAATTGTCCCTTTAGATCAATTTAGTTGGACAACTGTTATCTCATTTCTTGGCCCACATGTATTTACATGGGGAAATACAATGCCACTGCAGCACTAGAAATTTAATTACTAATTAATGTCTTTATTTATATCTATAAATTGATCATTTAAAGTCTATGTTACTGTAACTCTGAAAATAAAATTGTTTTAACATTTATAACTTTCTGTAATTCATAATGTACAGGCTTATGTAGATCATTGTTTCAAAGCATCTCAGTAAATTGTTCTTTGAAATTGAAGTAATATATTTGAGGGGAAAAGAAACAAATAAATTCCTTGAGAATAAAAAAAAAACAACAACATTGTTTCCATTGAAGTAGAAATCTGCTCTCACTCTCAGATACTGTAGACAGTGGCAATGACAATCTCGGTCAAGTGAACTTCATTACATTCTGATGAAATGATAATTGGTGTTTCATGGGGCACTGCACAAGTAAGGCCCTGGCTTTTACCAATACCTTTCATCATTTGCTCCTGCAACTCTACCAATTAACTGACTAGGTAGAACTGTGTACTTTTTAATTTGCCAATAACATGAAGACTTTTCTATCAATTAAGAAGCTCAAATTTTTAAAATAGATTATAGTATCATCCTGACTTTTATCTTTGTATTGTCAAGACCCGCACTGAAATTCATCAGTGGCAGTGTTAAATCTTATCCTCTTTGGATGTGACTTGAACTAGATGACTACTGGGGTCCCTTTCGGTTTTAAAAGTCACTGGGGTGCCTGGATGGCTCCAACTCTTTAAAAAAATTCTTTTTACATTTATTTATTTTTGAGAGATAGAGTGAGACAGAGCGTGAACGGGGGGAGTGGCAGAGAGACAGGGAGACACAGATTCCGAAACACGCTCCAGGCTCTGAGCTGTCAGCACAGAGCCCGATGTGGGGCTCAAGCCCACAACCCATGAGATCATGACCTGAACTGAAGTCGGACGTTCAACCGATGGAGTCACTCAGGCACCCCATGGACGGCCCCAACTCTTGATTTAAGCTCAAGTTGTGATCCCAGGGTCATGTGAGATTCTCTCTCTCACTCTTTCAAATAATGAAATAAATAATAATAATAATAAAATTATTTGGCTCCGCCTATCTCCCTAACTGCATCTGATACCACTCCTTGGGTCTCCGTGCTCCAGTCACACAGGTTGGCCACTAACCCCAAAAGAGAGCAAGTTGTTACCTTTTGAGACCTATGTTCTTCCATTCATCTGGAACATTCTTTCATTGATCCCATTTGCTAGCTCCTGTGTATCCATCAGATCTCAACCAAAAGACCACTCCTCAGGGAGACTTTCCCAATAATCCTCATTTAAGGACCCACCCCCATCATAACATCCTGTTTGTTACTTTTCTTCTATGTATAACAACATGGCTTTGTCTCTCATTTAATTTTGTCTCACTGGAATATAAATTTCATAAGGACAAGACATTTTCTGTCCCATTTTATCCTTTATATTCTCACCAGAGCGCCTATTTTCTACTATGTAGAATACCAATAAATTTGTGTTTAATTATGTGATTAAAGGAATCCTTGAATTTTTAAAAAATCAATTTGTCAAGCTCTTGAAAAATAGCATTAAAAGTATTCCTTCTCGGGGCGCCTGGGTGGCTTAGTCTGTTAAGCGTCCGACTTTCGCTTAGGTCATGATCTCGCGGTTCGTGGGTTCGAGCCCCGCGTCGGGCTCTGTGCTGACTGCC